AGGGTGTAGCAGGATGTAGCAGGTCAAGCAAACGGACCCCACCTCTCTCTGTTGCGTCCACCAAAGCGCGCGCATTGCCGCCCCGAACGGATAGGATAACCAGCTGCAACTCCTTGCAATACGCAAGCACAAGCAACGAAGCGGGGTGGGGATTGTCAGTTGCTCCTTTCAGGTCCAAACATAGACGCAGCAACCTACAGCACAGCAAAATGGTATTGATAGTGACCAAACCTTTTGGAAAGTTTAACTACCAGCATGATAGTTCTTTGGATGCATTCGATGGACAACCCCAGAATAGATTCACCCATCCAAGAGTTCAGCATTGGAGCCAGCGCAGTGGCTCAAGGTGGGCCGATGATCTGAAGGGTCGGGTAGGTCTTCCGTGTCTCCTGTGGCACAGTCAAATCCCAGGTCGCACGGGAGACCTTGGACGTCGCACGGCAGTTGGAGAGGAAAGCAGTGGCCATGTTTCTGTGAAAAAGGGTTTGATAAAGGCTTTATACCATTCTTAAGATAGCTCTTAGGTCTGTTCGGCCGTCGCTCTTAGGTTGGAGAGCTGAGCTGGTCTCCTTCTCTTTTTCAAGCACCACCTACATCAACCGACCGGTTCTGTATGCTTCTGTGGCATTGGGAGAACCAAATAGGATTCTGAGCTGGAAAGGCATGGACATGGCTTGTGAGTGGAATCGTGCGTGGTCTTGTTGCCTTGGCCTGCGTGCCCTCTCCATCTGATACTGTATGGTGTCCTCTTTTCACTGTTGACGTGTGGTACCTCGACAGCATTCTGCAGTTGCATTCGTTTGAACACGTACATTCCATCAACTGTCCATACCAAGAAGTTTCATGCCTCCAACGAAGACAGATCTTGATGAGCTATGTCAGATCTTGGATTGGATGTGGTGAGCAAACCAGAAAGGTTGCCACACTGATTGCCACACCACTTGACTATCCAGAAACATTTCGCTGTATGTACATTAGTTCATAGGGTCAATTGCTGCAAACGTGTCAATTGCTCAATCCTTCACCCTCGCTGCGTTTCTCCGGCTGGCTTCTCCAACCGCTTTTCCGGTTCTCCAATGCCCACGCCCCGTTGGGCCAAGGGGCTTCCCTGCCCTGGTAGAGTAAGCGCTGCCGAAAGCGCGGGGTTCGTGTCCTTGGCAGAACCCGTCGAGGGCCGGAGGCCTGATGATCTCATGAGTGCCTTGTAATAGAGATTTGGAGGCCTGATCATGCAAACGGGACAGGTTGGCACCTATTATATACATATATATATACTGTCGCAACTTCCTTTTCTAGATCCAGCTATCTCTTGACTGCAAATCAAAGACTTTGGAGAGCCACAACCACCGGTTTTAGCCAATGTCCTTTCACTGGAGGTCTTTGAAGAGATCTCTCTCGTCCATCCATGCAATGATTGGCAGTGAGAGGTCGCATGCCAGTCAACATAGCATACATGGCACCACCATGCACAACAAACGCTGGAACAGGTCATAGCAACAGGTCATTCTACATCCAAATTGTGTTTCCACTAAGGAAAATGAAGCTTCTTTGATGATGTGTTAGTGCCTTCAGGAGGTGCATGTTTTTGGCGCATATTGGTCTGACCCTCAGATATTGGGGACCTGAGATATTTTTGTTGGGGGAGAAACAGTCGGTTGAAACGACGAGCCTCTGAATCTCTAGACATCGCTTGAGCTCAGCGCCGAAGCGTTCGCCACTGACGGCGGCCAAGCTCTGCACCGTCGCAGGGTCGAAGTTGGCCACCTGGTAGGGTCGATGGTCCTTTTTTTGTGTCCCATGGTCTCCATGGATGGTGACAAAAGACGGTGATTCTATAGGAAGCTGATCTTATATGCTGATGCTATATGAAGTTACGTAAAAGCTAAAGTAACAGAACATGAAGGTGGCAGTCATGAGACTTCAGAATCCAAAAGAAGCCCCAAGACGGGCTCTGAAGGGTCTTCTGTTGAGTGGCCTTCTTTCGGGAGAGGTCATGCGTCGCAATGCGTGGGTTTCATCCTCATGTTCAGGTACCACAACTTTATATCATGTAAGCCAAATTCTCAGTAGCTTCAAATGAATGCTGAGTCAATGAACACATCCTGTGACGATTGAAGAACGCTGGCCTTCGAAATGGTGACCTCCTTTTTGACAAATTTATTATCTCTCCAGTCCAAAGATCGTAATAAATTCAGTCAAGTTCCTGCCAGAAAAAGAAGGAACATGTTCGCTCCATTCTACGACCGAATATCTGGCGGGGTTTGGGCGGCCCTGTGCACGCGCACCTCGTTTCCGGACACCGCTAAGATCCGCAACATCGCGCGTCTATGTCTGGTCACCACTTTGGGTAACACCCGAAGCACAAAGGAAAGATAAGAAAGACGTTCCTATGATATTTCTGGATTGGAATATCTTGGGATCATCTAAGAATTTACATCCGACGGCAGGAAAATGGATGGCCTTTCTGATGGAAATGCGATTTGTTTTCATTCTGTGAGCATGTTACATCATACATTGTCATACATGCATTATCATTGTAGCAAACACTCTGATGTGTAACGCAAATGTTGATGCCAAGGAGTTAATCATGAAGCCGGTCATACCTATTCTCGGGCATCTTCAACTGTTGCCACATAATCAGCACAGAAAGTCAAGATCATGGAAGACAAGCTTTCTGTCGGGGTCACTTTTCATTGTCGGCAGCACAAAGGGCAGGGTGAACCCCCTCGTCATATCCTATATCCTTGCAGTGTCCAGACGAAACACAGAAAACAGCAAAGAAAAAAACAACAACCCGGCCCAGCATCTTCCAGCAATGATTGAATCTGTTGGTTGACGCCAGCCTATCAATAAATCCAGTATCTGCTATAGGTTAGTCCAAACGGGGCCAACAGGAACAAACTAAGTCCAATTCAAGAAATCTGTGGATAGCAACTGGATATAAGAACTCTGTCGTGCAGTAGGTTGCAAGTGCGCAATAAACCAAATGAAGAAGCTAGCAGTTCTCATATTCATGGATAGTATAGTATAGGGTCTTGCCCCAACACGAAGTATATATCTACTCTGTCTGGATCCTTCCGGCGCCACCAAAGGACAGGCAAGAACCCGCACCGGAAGCTGTCGCGAACAGCGCTTTTGGTGGATTCTGCTGTGGTCGTCCGGCCCTTGCGCCAACGCCCCGGAGGCGAGACCTGTCGGGCAAACGGCCAGGACGGGCAAAAACGCCTGGAGACTCTTCATGTCAAAGAATCAACATGAGAGCTTCCTCTATGAAGTGTGATTTAGAATGACTTCTTAACCTCTCTCTCTGTATATAACTATCAGGATGTGCCCTATACAGTTGGACCCCTGGCCAGTTGTGGCTGTGGGGCTCTGCCTCCCACACCGGCTCCGCGTCTTCCGTCCAGGTCGCTGCCACACGCAGGTCAGTGCCCTGACAGCGAGGTCGATTCAGGTTCGAAAAAAAAGGTGAGAGATGATAGTTGAAAGTGATAGTGGGATGAGACCAGTTTGGTTGGCTCATGTCTGCTCTGAATTAGTATATACATGGTGGGATATATATATATATATATATCCAGAATGATGAAATGCACATCAACAACATGATGTTAGTGTTAGAGTCTGTTAGAGTTGATTTGGGCAATGTTTCATCTGTAGGATTCCTTGATGCCGAGAGCCTTCTGGGTTGAGCCGGGTTTGTCAATGGGGCAATTAATCACCTCCCGCCAGCCATGGAAAAGCATGTGTTTGTGGGTTTCTGGCAACAGACTTCAGTGTCCGCAAAACTAACTACTCGTCATACAACTCTTTGGCATGGCTCAAAAAAAAGGAATACGCAAAGAAACAAAGCAGGTCTCTTAAGTACACGAAAAAAGGCTTCAAGCACCAAACACCTGTGACACTGGGTTCAACAGGATGTCTGCATCAAGTAGTTCACCTCCTGCATGGATCTCGAGGTCTTATTCCAAAGTTTTATCAGTCGAAGAGTGCTAAGACTTCCAACAGGGCTAACCTATAGCAAATCTTATGTGCAAAGGTGCAGCTTCAGTCTTACAATTTTCGGGAGGTCAAAGGCTACAATATGACGGTTGAAGGTTCTGGAAGCTTCCCCGAATCCAAAACAATGCTCAACATTGGTTCACACTCAGCATCATCTCCATATTGATCCACATTCATACTGCATAGCTCGTTGTGAAAAGTCCGACTGTCCGGCATCATCCGAAGATCTCCGACCTTCTTTACCTCCAAATCGGCATGAAACTGCAATGTGAGCTGAATCCGCTCCGACTTCATCTCCTGGATTGGCCAAGTCTACAAGCTGCTATGGGCCATTGGTGTGAGGTGAATCAAAAGCAAGTGGTCCAATCATGTCCAATCCGCGGCCTTGAATTACTAGTGCTATCCCGGTTCACCTTCGCCTTCGTCTAACCACACGCGAAAGCTTCTTTTCAAGAGGGGTCTCTGTATGTCTCTGTGAGCTCATTCTTCAAATGAAGGGGGTGTCCAAAGACCATGACAGTGTGATGTGAATGAGGGAAGAAGGCTTTTAGCCGCTCGAAGCCGAACACAGCAATACGCCCTCTGTCTACTACATTTGGTGGGTTCGAGGTTGGGCCGCAAGGAAGGAAGGAAGGAAGGGGCCACATCATCTGCATGAAATCCCTCTGGTGAGGCCTAGTTTTAGGGCTCCCCTTTCGTGTTTCCTAATCTGATCAAAATGATTCGATTCGAACTGACACCGAAAGTCCAAAACGAGTCAGAAAGAAGTCTGAAGAGTCTTCGAATGCCCATCTCATTCCGGTTTTCTTGCAGTCAAAGCTAACCGCTAGCCGCTAGCGGCGTTTTCCTCGCTTTGTGATGTGTTCATGTTTTGGTCTTCGTCTCTCCGGACAAGGGTTAAACAAGTAAAATGGTCCTAGTCTCGAACCTTTCATTCCGTGTGCATGATCAAACCACGTGACACATCAAAACTCACGCAAATGAGATGATATCATGACAAGTCATGACATGGTCATCTCCTCATCTCTGGGCTGTGCATAGAGCCACTTCTCCCTCAAGGGGCCTCCAAGGGCCACCAACATGCCTCGCGGGCCGCGGGCCGTCCGACTCACACCGGCCACCGCGTTCTTCCGCTGTTCCGCTGGCCGCGCGTGGACGGAAGGCGCCTTCTCGGAGGGGCAAATCCACCACGACCACCTCGCGGCGGCCACGGCCAAAGTACCAAGGGATGCCATGGATGTGATACCTGCGTCGTGAGGTTTGGCCAAGAGGTGAACGTTTTTAGGCCGGCAGAGTTGAGTCATGTTGAGTTTTAGGTGCTCAGTGTCAGATGTTCCTTAAAAACCTCTGAACGGAATTTTATCAGAGCCGAATCGCTGCCTAGTCGATAGTCCTTTGAGTTGACGAGAATTTTGTGGACCCTCACTAACAAAGGAACAGACTGTCGAACTGTGGTCCTTACAGGTCAAAAACACACGTTCTTAAACTTGAAAGATATAGTGCTCTGCCAAACCCACAGGCGGTTTTCTCAAACGGAAACGTGGCCAAACCACATCCACGGCATGATCTGAATCTGAACGATATCTAGCTCCAAGCCACGTCCGCGTGGCTCCGAATGCCATGAGCCCAATGACTGTAGGAGAAGACCATCCGCAGTGTGTGGCGTAGGTGTGAGGGCCATCCTTCACATGCATGCCTGAGATGCGCATGGGTTCATGCAAGCAACCAGCGTCAGGCGTCAGGAGATTATTCTATATATCATATATTTCAAGAGTTCATGCAAGCAACCAGCGTCAGGTGATTATTATATATATATATATCATATGCTTCAACAAACACATTCTCAGAACTCAGAACCTAACGAATGCCGCGCAACCATTCTCGACCTCGACTCGAAAATGGCATGGTTTGGTACCGGAAAAGAACACCGCTATACACCAACTTCCCTAGGTTTTGTTCGGCCATTCATTGATATTTGGAGGATTCCATAAATGGGGGGGTGCCCCAAAAAGGATGGTTTATCATTAAACAACCCATTAAATTGATGATTTGGGGGGTGCCCCCACTTGTGGAAGGAACACCCCATCTTTGATTGAGCGATGACATGCTGAAATTGAACCCAAGACCCTAGACCAATCACCGATCAAATTCATCAGATTCATCGATGACACGAGGACAAACCGTTGTCATTTGCGCCACTTGCGGATTTGTCACCATGGACATCTATAAGTTGTAAAACGAGCAAACCTCGTTGCTGACCTTTTGGCAAACGAAATCGAACAAGAGACCCCCCCCGGTAGATGAGAGGAGATGTTCTCCCACCATCGTTTTCAAACCTCCTCTTCCGGCGGACACAGGATCTGAACGGGCCTGGCGGTTCCCACCGGCACATGAGGCCATTGAAGGGCGCTTCCGCTGCCTCAGCAGCCTTCGACAAAAGCTCCTGGATGCGTCGAGTATTTTGGATGCTCGGGTGTGCTGGCTGGCCCTGGCATCACCAGGTGACCTCAGAGTATATATACCTGGAACCGAGACATGACCCCTGTTTGGATAGGAAAAAGACCATATTTTGGCTGATTGGTGGTCCAAAATAGAGGTCATTAATGTTCTAGGTACACATACTTGAAATTGTATTGACATCTTACTTTGGGAAGACACTTGAAGAACAAAGTCTTTGCCAAAACCACTCCAAATCTATGCGAGAAGAAAGCTCTGATATGGGTTTTCCAGCAAGTAACACCTTCCGTGCTACAGTTACAGTAATATACCTGAATATAATAACCACAAACATGAAACCACACATAAAGAGCAAACAACTTTCCCAACCTCTCAACTGGGATGCCTTCATAAAAGGGTGTTGAGAATTTAGATGCAGCTAACAAACACGAGTCAAACAACTTACTGCTGTATTTAAGGCATCGAGATTGAACCGCTCAATCATTCACAGGCATGATCTTCCAGGAACTGCTGATCAGCGTGTTCACGCGTTCCAGAAAGAATCCTCGGTTGACCTGGATCTAGCCTTGCTGACACCTGCCTGAAGCCCCTCCCGGAGTGAACCTTACACCGGCGAAGCGATTCGCCGCCGCGAAGCGGCGAAGCCTCCACCCTGGGCGAGAGCTTCTGCCCACGATGAAGCCTTGGAGCTGCCACCTGGACGCAGAAGACCAGAAACTGATCCCAAACATCTGCAGTAGATTCACATCAAACCAACCAGATTGGATTTTCACATTCACACGATCGGAGCGTATTTTCGGAGTGCCATGTGATACGACGGCGTTGCAAATGGACGTCCGGACCCCCGGCCCTGCGGGGGTCGCGGTAGTCGTAGTCGTTGCAAAGCCAGGCTTCCTTTTGGCGCTCATTGAACTGGGTGAAGCTTCCATCCTCAGATGAACAAAGAGAAACCATCGCCGAGGTGGAGAAATAGCACTGCTGTTTTCCAGCACCTGGCCATTTGGTCAAACCTGTCAAAGCTGTTGAAAGGTGGTGAAACGGGGACAGCGACGGGGGGTTCCTTCTGGATCTCATGCATGGATCCATTGGACAACTGACGATCACAGACGTGGCCATTTGGCACCTTCACAACTTTCAGACTTTCAGCACTCTCAATGAGGACCTGTTCAGTTGCCAATGTCCCCCAATTCAGGGCTCATCAAGATGGAGAAATGACAGCTCACCAACATAGACAGCTGTCCCAGCAAACATGGACCCTCACTTGGACTGAATGGAGGCATCAAGAACAACCGTTAGGTGTCCAGCCCGATCTGCATCTTGTCTTGAAGCAATCTCTTGGCAACTGCAACGGTGAACTTCGTAACACGTCAGCTAGCAGCTATCAAATGGAACCGCTTAAGTAGGGTTCACTTGAGTTTTTCTAGCATTGTGCTCTCCCGGAACACATATGAGTGCTACCCGGCAAACTTGGGGAACGTGCCGTGTAAATGGAAACTTTTGCATCTGAACAAAGTTCAATATCGAGTTTCTTGGAAACTCACACTTTCTCAAAATTTAAGAAATACTCCACAAATGACAAATGGGCAAGACTAAATCAAACAGAGTTTTGCAGCGGAAGCAAACATTTCATAAGACATACGGTACGAGTACTTAGGTCACACACACACGAAAACACACCGAAGCCAAGGTCTTTGTTGGTCACGTGTGTTTTGTGCAACAAGATTGTTTCTTCCCAAACGTTGGTCATTTCAACAGTCCTCGCAGGCAACCCAAGTGCCACTCGCGCATGACAACGATGTACAACCATGCCAGTGATAGAAAGCGCCGGTGATACTTATATGAGCGACGCTGTTTATCTGTTATGTGGGCCTTGCACCTTTAATTTTGGTGAGTGTATTATCGTTTTCCACGTTTTGAGCCTTACCTATGTTAAAGAGCGGCAGACTTTTTGGACATGGAAGCAGACGTGCGACGGTCAAAACTCCTTCTGTGTGATAAGGTCGTGGGTGTCGCTTTCAATGGTGGCATCGCTACACACAGCGCCAGCATTCTTTTTGACTTGTCGCCGTTTGGTGGGGGCAGTAGTCGCAGTAGCAGGAGTAGGAGTAGTGGTAGCAGCAGAAGCAGTAGTAGTAGCAGCAGTAGCAGTAGTAGTTGTCGCAGTGGTGGTAGTAGTCGTCGTCGTAGTCGTAGTAGTCTCGTAGTTTTTAGTAGTAGTAGTAGTCGTAGTGGTGGTGGTGGTGGTGGTATAGTAGTAGTAGTAGTAGTAGTAGTAGTAGTAGTAGTAGTAGTAGTA